CGGTGGTTCTGCTGCTGGTGCTACTGGAGGTCCTGCTGCTGGAGCTGCTGGTGGCGCTGGTGCTGTCGCTGAGGGTGCTGGTGCTGTCCCTGCTGGGTCTGGGGTTGCCGCGCGGCCTCGGCCGTACTACAGCAGGTTCTTGGTCTTTCTCCTCCGGTAGAGTGTCCACCGCCTGTCCAGTCGCAGTCACTGTTGGAGCCTTCCTCTCCACTGCCTGCTCCCTCTCCTTACACTGGTCCTACTGGAGGTCTTGCTGAGCGTCGTGAGCCTGCGTCTCGTCCTGCGTCGCCTGTTCGTGCTGCTCGCACTAGTGGTCGCGGTTCGCGTCAGCGTCCTCCTCCTGTCCCTGGCACGCACCGGATGTCTCTGCGTCAGTCCAGTGCACCTCTGCGTGCCCCTTTGCCTTCTCCTCCTGACTCCTCTCTTCCTGCGCTTGCCGACCCTGAGTCGGACTCTCTTCGTGCTGCCAGTCCTACTGTCACGCGTCTGCTTGCTACTGTCGTCACTGACCCCTCTTTTGAGTCCACTGCTGCGTCTGCTCTTGTCGCTGAGCTTGTCGACTTTGCTGCTCGCTGTCGTCTAGACTACGCTGCTAGTCTTGTTGCTGAGTCTGCGTCTGACTGTCCTCCGTCCGTCGGGGGTGAGTGTGCTCTTGGCACGGACGTCCTAGAGGACAGGCAAGAGGAGTTACAATGTCTGGCTGCTGCTTCACCTCATCTCGCGTCTGTACTGCTTGCTCCTGAGGGAGACCCGGATGCACTAGACATCCCGACTCCGCGCTCTTACGCGGAGGCCGTAGAGGGTCCCTACTCGTCTCAGTGGCAGGCAGCTATGGATGCAGAGATGGCTTCCTGGAAGTCCACAGGCACCTACGTTGACGCAGTTCCCCCTTCTGGGGCGAACATCGTCAGTGGCATGTGGATCTTCAGGGTGAAGCGGCCGCCGGGCTCTCCACCTGTCTTCAAGGCGCGGTACGTTGCTCGTGGCTTCAGTCAGCGGCAGGGAGTTGACTACTTTCATACCTTCTCTCCCACCCCGAAGATGACTACTCTTCGGGTGCTGCTGCACGTAGCCGCTCAGCGCGACTACGAGCTTCACTCTCTCGACTTCAGCACTGCGTTTCTGCAGGGTAGCCTGCACGAGGAAATCTGGCTGCGCCGTCCACCTGGCTTCACTGGGACTTTCCCTCCTGGCACCCAGTGGAGCCTCCGACAGCCAGTCTACGGTCTCTGCCAGGCACCGCGTGAGTGGCACGACACACTGAGGACTACACTTGCGGCTCTTGGGTTTGCTCCTTCTACTGCTGACCCATCGCTGTTTCTCCGCACCGACACTTCTCTGCCGCCGTTCTACATCCTCGTGTACGTCGACGACTTGGTCTTTGCCACAGCGGACACTGCTGGACTCGCCTACGTGAAGTCCGAGCTGCTGAAGAGACACACGTGCACAGACTTGGGTGAACTGCGCAGCTACCTTGGCTTGCAGATCACTCGGGACAGAGCACGCCGCACCATTACCTTGACTCAGTCACACATGGTGCAGCAGGTCCTTCAGCGCTTCGGCTTCACGTACTCCTCGCCTCAGGCCACTCCTCTGTCTACTCGCCACTCGCTCTCAGCTCTGCCTTCGGATGAGTCCGTAGAGTCGAGTGGCCCGTACCCAGAGCTTGTTGGCTGCCTCATGTACCTGATGACCTGCACACGACCTGACCTTGCATACCCCCTGAGCATTCTTGCACGCTATGTTGCTCCTGGGAGACACTGATCAGAGCACATGGCTGCAGCGAAGAGGGTATTACGCTACCTGTGCAGTACGTCGGGCATGGGGCTAGTGCTTGGAGGGCGCAGTCCAGTGGTCCTTACAGGGCACGCAGACGCTTCTTGGGCTGACGACCAGGCTACGCAGCGGTCGTCACAGGGTTACACCTTCGGCCTTGGTTCCGGCTCTGTCTCGTGGCGGGCTACTCATTCGTCTTCGGTTCTCAGCTCCAGTTGTGAGGCTGAGATCTACGCAGGGGCCATGGCTGCACAGGAGCTTCGCTGGCTCACCTACCTGCTGACTGACCTTGGAGAGCCGCCTCGTTCTCCTCCAGTGCTGTACGTAGACAACAAGGCCATGCTGGCCTTGTGTCGAGAGCAGCGACTGGAGCACAGAACGAAGCACATTGCTCTTCGCTACTTCCTTGCTCGTGAGCTGCAGCAGCGTGGACAGTTGCGGCTTGCGTACGTGGCCTCTGAGGCCAACACTACTGATGTGTTCACCAAGGCACTCGCGCCTTGTGACCATCAGCGCTTCTGCACCCAGCTGGGTCTTGTGCCTGTCTTGCCTCACTTGCTCTCCTCTTGACTTTACTGTGACATATATATATACCTGCTCTTGCTTGTCTAGTTTCATATATATATGTCTGTACTCCTGCATGTGAACTGGCCTCTGGCCCTGCTCTTGTGCTCGGACTGTGTGGTGACTTTGTGATCCACCCCGAGCTTGCTTTGCTTTGCTTGACTGGTCTTGTGACCCCTTGTTCTCCCCCACTTTGCCTATGGGGGTGTGTCAGGTTACTATAGCTGATGCATGTTTGTAGGCTGTAGTGGGGTAGCACATAAGGGGTACAACCCAATTAGGGTTGGTACTTGTACTGTTTTCATTTCATAGTTCATCATTCCTGTTCCTTACTTTCACACTCCTTGTGCAGGTTGTCCAGTTGAAGTCGTTGAAGCTTGAATCGTGGTTGTCGGACTTGCTTGTGTCGAAGCAACTTGGGAGCTTGAAGGCCGAAGTTGTCGCAGTGGTGTTGTCTGACGGGACGGGCAATGCGTGCGTGGATGTCCTGATGTCTTGCAGATGTGACAAAACGGAGGTATTGGCTTCGGCTGCTGCTGTCAGTTGTTGTAGTTGTTGTGTCGTCGCTGAGTATGGAAAGCGAACTCCGGTGCTAATGCCTTTTTCTTGTGCCTTTCTTCTTGCAGGTCCATATCCTGCAGCTCGGCGTGGATTTCGGCGCAGAGTGCCGCTTCGGAGATCCTCCCGTGTGCTCGAAGAATTGCTTTGGTGACGCGCCACTGAGAACCGAGGCCACCGATGACGACTGTTACGAAGGCGTCTTCAGAGATTGATCCTCCGCATCGAAGAAGCTTGTCGCGCAATTCGCGACATCGGCTGATATACGCCAATCCCTTTTCTCCTGGTTTCATTTCAACTGTTGTCAATTGCGCCATTAACCTGCTCTGGTTTACACTGTCTGTTGCTTGATACAGGTTCTTCAGATGGCCATACGCGAGTTCCGCCGAGTTGCCGAAGTTCCGGTAAGAGCGAATGTTCTGCTGCTGAGTTGGTGTGATGTTTCTCAATAGAATAGTATACGCCATCATCGATTGATACGTATACTGCTGCTTCTCATATTGTGTGCCGTTTGCTGGATACTGCAGGGATCTGTCGAAGAAGCCGAGTATCTGCGCGCCCTCCATCATCAGCTCGAATTCAAAGGACCAGGTAAATAAGTCCTTTCCGTCAAAAGGTCTTGATGTTTGCAGTTTCAAGACATGCGCGAATTGCGACTGAACTTGTAATGCGTCCATTGGTTTGTCTTGCGCAAGTGGAGGTTGAGGTAGAAAGCTGATCGACCCGCGCTCGTACGGGGCGAAGGTGGGTTGCTGCTGTTGATTCCCTCGCGCATATGACGACCCATCAAGGCTCATGGGTGTCGCTCCGTTGTTGCTGTTGTGTGTCTGTGCAGGTCCCGACTGCTGGTGTTGCTCGTAGAAGGACATGAAGGAGAAAAATTTCTCCATCATGCTCTGGTCGAAGTCAGAGGGATGGTTCATGGGGGTCTCGGTTGACGTTCCCCTTGGTCTTGCTGCCGTGCCTTCCTCTGTCTGCAGGCCAGAGGCTGGTGGTGGAGTAGGAGTAGTGCCCGAGGAGCCATTAGGGGAGCTCCTTTCCTTGTTTGTTGCCATGTCTTGTAATGATCTTGAAAAAAAAAAAGTTAGAGTTTTCCCCTGTCAGCTCTCATACCATGTTGGGCTGAGAAAGCCCTTAAGGATCTTTGCAGAGGATAACTCTGGGTAGGATATGTGTAATAGCGGAAGCGTTTAATGAAACTTGTGAACCGACCTTGCACTAGTGTGTGAGAGCAAAGTGGATTAAATTAAACAAGCAAATACAAGGTTTTATATAAGAGTACAGGGAATACGAATAGATAGATAACTGTATTGCTGTTGCGATTCGATACAGTGCGACTCGGGCAACTGCTCTGCAACGAGTCAGTTGTGTGTCCTTAACTGTCGCGCTGTAATTGTCGAGTCAAAGGTCGCTGACCTTTGACTTTCCCGTAACCTCCAGGCGGTTACCCTAACCTCCGAGGTTTGACTCGATGCTTCGATTCGGACTGCTTCGCTAGTGTCTTGGGTTTTGACACGACAGAAGCGCGCTAAGACTTATTGTTTCCAACAGTTGTTGGGGTATAGAAACCTCGCAATGCTGGTAAACCGCTCGAAGACCATATACCACGTTGAAAGTACTAGGAGAGGTACTTCTTCACAACCCCAACAAGTACCGGTAGTATAAAGCATCAATATGGAACCATTGAAACATATATACACTCCAACAAAAACAATCACCATACCGGTACCGTATTTCATTTCAAGTCTTCTCAAATGCTACAGTTTCCTGTTCGAGCCTTTTTCATATTCGGTGTGCAGATTCTAACCCCAGGTTTCAACTTAACACACTCATACCCATTCATTCTCCGGTAACAACCTTTGATACTGTAGAAATACTTCATTTCAATGTATTTGCAGTCATCCCCAGGTGAGATGGTGTAGGTGCTGGTCCTCGAACAAATACCCGCCGTGAAGTTGGTGACACTGCCAATGCACACCTGCAGCCATAGGGAAGAGAATGCGGATGTTGGTGGTACGAGTGAGGCTGGTGGCGGACATAAGAGAACGCGAGGGCGTACTGCATTGCATTTGCAGCATAAAATGCAAAGCAAGGCACTGTGTTCAATACATTGCAAACACCACACTGCAAGCACCAAGGCGCTCTCCCCCCACCTCAGCACCAAATGTGGTGGTGGAGCCAGAGTATTTCTTGAGGGGGATGAGCTGGTTGCAGTTGACGCCGGGGTTGAGGCGGTAGAAGTCCACGGGGCTGAGAGGAGGCTCGGCCAGCTGCCTGATGCTGTCGCACGTGTCGTTGAGGCGCGCCCGGTAGTACTGGTCGCACACCACTGTCACATTCGCCACCCCGGGGTCCCTCTCGATGCACACGGCCTGGGAGGGCCTCAGGGAGGAGCAGTCCACAGCGGGGTTGAGCGCCTGAAATGCCGCCTCACACTCCGCATCCGACGCCGCCGCCCCACACAGCTCCACCTGCCTCCCTACCCCCGTGCACGTGTCGCCCTGGGGATACGGTGGGACAAGGGGAGACAAGGGGGGAGAAAGGAGGAGAGGGGAGTGGCAGGAGGGTGTTGTTTGGGCCAGTGGAAAGACAATGGGAGGAGACTCGAACATAATGGTGCAGTGAGATATTGATGCATAGGCGCTATGGACTCACCAGCACAGTGGTGTAGAAGACAGAGCATGCATCGACTGTGGAGTTGACCAGGAGGCTTGAGCTGATGCGCAGAGGAGCAGAGCATGAGATGCCCTGCGACACAAGCAGGGGATGATGGCACATGCATGGGATGATGGCACATGCATGGGATGATGGCACATGCATGGGATGATGGCACATGCATGGGATGATGGCACATGCATGGGATGATGGCACATGCATGGGATGATGGCACATGCATGGGATGATGGCACATGCATGGGATGATGGCACATGCATGGGATGATGGCACATGCATGGGATGATGGCACATAATAAACGAATGTTATGAGCTCACACATCCTGACATGGCACTCTCAAACTCAAGCATCTGCAGCGGGGAGGGGGTACCTTGTTCTGCTGCAGGAACTGGTCCAGTGTGAGGGCGAATATGGGATGCACATGGGAGCACCACACGTTGCTCTGCCGCACCGTGTACACCCCCCCTGCATCCCCTGCACCACGAACACACATTGAAACATAAAAAAATGAGACTACTGCGCAGCAAGGGAAGAACTCATGACTTTTCGTCAGTGGAGGGGAGACCACAGAGTGGAGATCACTGCATGCCTCCACCACATGCTAGTGCCACTCCATTTAATGACACAGCCTCATTGGAAAAATTAGGATGTTGGATAATTATTTGCGATTTTGTCTTAGAACATCCATCAACTTTAGTTGCACTGGACCTCCAATCCTTGTGAATCCCATCATGAACTCAAGACGTACAAGTTAGAAAAGAGTTTAAAAAAGAGACTGTGATCTCAAGATCAAAGGTGAAACCAAGAAGTACAGAGAAAACCACACAAAGCAATCGACTCAGTCAGTGTTACACAGTGCATCAGCATGCATGGATTCAAACGGATTGCAGGTTGTATGAAGGTCATCCATTAAAAAAAAATAGGTCATAAAGAGGAAGTAGCGGCAGAGGGGTGTTACCCGGAGCACAGGAGGCGGTGTTGGCGAGGGTGGTGCCCTGGATGAACCCTGGGGGACACACACAGGAGTAGCTGCCCTTGCCATCGTTCACACACGTGCCCACCACACACGGGTTGCGAGTGCTGGACCCACACACGTCCACTGAGGGCGAGAGAAGAAGAATGGGGCCGGCGAGGAAGCATACATGAGCATGGACGGATGGCATGGGGGTGTGTAGGGGGAGCGTATGCTGTGGGCGTGGGAGGAGTTGAGTGAGCAAGCATCAAAGAATAAACGCGAGCATGGGTATTGGCCAGGAGCAGGTTGAAGGCAAGCAAGCGGGGATGTGCTTTTTAGAATAGAAGAGCCCAACAACAACATGCTGCACTGAATACCCTCTCAACTGCAACTTCACTCCATGCACTAGTCCAAAACTTCCGGAATCACTCAGTGCACATGTACGCTTCACCAGTGACCCTCTGTGGTGCATGTTACCATAGGCACAGGTGTACGATCCATCGGTGTTCTTGACTTGAGCAAAGCGGGCGTCAGTGCACTTGCAGCGATTGCTGGTGCCCTTCTTGCTGCAGCTGAACCGCCCACACGGGTTGAAGGCGGGGCCTTGAATGCTGTATTGGAAGGAGCGTGACCCACACGGATCAGCACTGCCTGCTTCACACATCCGGTGGGAATGGGGTGTGGGCAGATGTTACAGGCACAAGGTATGTTCACCAGCTGTCAGAGCAGGGATGCAAAAAACAACAGGTAGAGTAGTCAGTCTCACTTCTGACGACAGGGAAGAGGCCCGGGAGAGTGTTGATGCCGCAGATGCCATCGCCACTGCGAATGTCCATGCGCATGTGGCCCTGGTCGCCCCACCCTGTGCCCCATGAGTTGCGGATGATCCAGAAGGGCGGCGGCACGGAGGTGGAGGGGTCGGAGCCCGCAGAGAGGTAGCCCACCACCAGCACCACGTGGTTCAGGTGGTTGCTGAAACACTCCTCGTCTGCGTACTTGCCTCTCTGCCCACACACACACGGTCACCAGTACATATGGAGAGAGGTGGCACAACATAGGGCAGCGTGAAATAGCATCGGCAAGTAGATGGAAACATCATTCAACTTACACTGTAATGAGTTTGGCTCGTTTCAGCAGCAGCTGTCGTTGTAGTCAATAGGTTTGTAGGTATATTTCAGTTGGGGTTTATTTACTAACCAGGAGTGCATGCATTCAGGCTAGTAATATGTGGGGCATAATGGCAATCCGCCCGCTGTATGATTGCCCTATGATGGTGCGTGCTGCCAAAGAGTAAAAAATGTAATCGGTTCGAGTCGATTTGTTAAGCATAGAAACAAAAGGCATCGAAGTGGACTTGCCAGCACAATATTCCGCTTGAACTAATCACCTGCTACGTGGGACACCACGAATCTCCATGAGCTTAACAACCCTCTCACTCCGTTGCAGAGTGGTGATCGCAAGCCACCGTCTTCTTTCTCAAACATTGTCATGTCTGTTAATCACGAAATTCCTCCACTAATATCTAGACGCACCTATGTTCCTTATAAGGATTCAAGGATCCTAGCCCCTTCAAAGAAACTAATAGCTGTGGAAATGCTCGAGGAAGGTGAGAAAAGGTATAAATAAACGACGGAGAAATTTCGAGCTCCAACTCCCAGAAATAGGCCTATATTGAACTGCTTCAAGGGGAACAGGTTCGCCTCAAAATGAACCAAAGGCAGTACTGTGGTCATGTGAACATACAACCTACGATTGTATGCCAAAGCAACAGGGTGCTTGCCAGTAGGACAAAACCGCGGCTAGAGCAATGTTACTGGAGACTAAAAATGAGCAAACTTCATGCACAATACCAAAGTTTGGCGATCTGAGTTGCGAGGCCGTGTCCAACCGTCTTGATCTCCATTTTGGTGTCAACCGACTCCACGAACCCGGCGCCGCTATCATTGATCAGCAGGACATTGGCTTGCGGGCAGCCTGCCACGTCAGGGAACATGTCGCTCACGACCGTGACGCCGTCATGGTGCCAGCTTGCAGCGATGGGACCGAGAGCCGCCTCAATGCGCTGGCGACAGCCCGTCAACCCCAATTGAGTCACCCCTTGGTTCATTATACTTGCGCACCAAGTATGTCCCAATCGGTAGTTCCTCACCATATGCTGCCATGTACGCTGTTGTTCCAGCCTAGCCCGCATGTGCAGCATGAGACCTCACTTTCTGAGTGAGCAAGGTTGGCTAGCCTTGCCCTCACTTTGAGGTGTTGCGACTAGCCTCAAGAGTTCAGCTATACATATATGGCTTCACCACTTCCCTATAACTCATCCTCGGACAAGGACATTGCTCTAGTCTCTAAAACTTGTACCATCTTCATGTTAAGCACGTATGGTTTTTTCCATTGTGCCTTAAAGCTCACCAATTCATTTTCTATTGCCTGCACAACACACCCACGCACCAGCATAATGCGTGAGCACTGGTTGAACCTAGTCGGGTCAACCATAGAACTGGAGTAGGACCATGCATTAAGATATCGTGGTTCGGCCAGGTGTACCCAGGCTGTTTAAATTCGAGTTGAACCATAACTCCCTGCTATCAATTGGTCGAAACGGGGGCTATTCAGAGGTGCAGCGGTAGCCTTTAAGCCCTTCGTGTAGGACTGCAAGCGTTACACCCGCACCCAACCCTCTTCCTTCCCCCCTTGCCAATTTCCTTGTTGGTTGAGGGAGTCAGCCCCTGCAGAAGGGACCTCGATTTCGCTGAGGAGGCAGCCAGTCTGCTCGTGAAGTATTATTCGCTAGGTTTGAGTCTAGGTTACCACATGTGCCTCCTCGGAATTTGAACCTTAGACTCTGATACCAGTATAACGGTCCCAACCGCACATCACCACACTGCATCTACATAACCCAACCTCCACGCCACTTGTCAGAGCTCAGCGAATCATCCACAGCAACATTGATACTCGAAGAGCAATATCAGCTCCAGCAAAGCCTAGATCTAGTAAAAATGAGCACACAACGGTCCCAACCGCACATCACCACACTGCATCTACATAACCCAACCTCCATGCCACTTGTCAGAGCTCGGCGAATTATCCACAGCAACATTGATATACTCGAAGAGCAATATCAGCTCCAGCAAAGCCTAGATCTAGTAAAACTTAGCACCAGGTTTTTGCAAGATTTGTCGCGAGGTCCCTGCGAGATTTGTCGCGTGGACAGGACGTGCGAGGTTCATGTCAGAATGTGACTCGAGGCGAATGAGCCAGGTTCGAAGTTTGGCAAACCCGCCTAAAGTTGAAACTTGCTGGTTTCTTGTACCCAGCGGAATTCGGCCTGATCCAGACCGGCCCAAGCATCCGTCAATGCTGTGCGCTACACCCCTGGTATCCCATTCAACTCCCAGCAGGGACCAAGGCGCAACTCGTTTCCCCCATGCCCCTACATCATTAGGAAGGGTCCACGTGCAGGGCAGAAATGTGGAGGCACCAACCACCCTGAGGCAACTTGCTTCAAGAAGCGAGATGACAAGTGGTATGACGTCCACGGTGTCTCAACCCGTCCTCCCAACTGGGCCCCACCCCGTCGCGTGAATCAAGTCGAGGCAGTGGAGGAACCTGCTCAGGCACTTGTTAGCGGCCCATCTGATGTTCGCCTCAATCTGTTGTTCTCTGGTGCTGGGATTATTGATGAGAAGGGGTCGTAGTACATCGGTGTTTCAAACACACTGGGGATCGAGTTCATACTAGACAGTGGTGCCACCCACACAGTGCTCAAAGACAAAACCGCATTCGTTCCCTACCAGGCTCCCACCCCACTCCTTGGAGCAGATTCTAGATTCTCCATCCAATGTCATGGGTCCTCCACAGTTCCTTGTCCAGCATTCCCATCCGGCACAGTCACTAGCATCTGTGCCCCAACCCTCCACTACAACCTCCTTGCATAGCGTGAAATCCAACATGCAGGAGTGATCACCATCTTTCCCAATGATGTCCACTACTGTGACCTCTTTGACGCCAAAACCGGCATTCATCTAGCCCGTTTCACCCTCAACTCCACCAATCTCTACACGCTCGTTGTACCTCCCGTTAAGACATGCTCACTCACCTACCTTCCGCTCCCTTCCTCAGACTTCTCCACCTGTCATTGCCGTCTCATTTCCGACAAAACCATGCTCTTTCATCACCGCTTCGGCCACATCAACTTCCGCGCGCTTTTGGACCTTGCCACAAAACAACTTCTCCATGGACTTGCCTCACTTCTCTCTCCTACCTCCAACCTAGGGCCGCCTTGCCTTGACTGTGCACAGAGCAAGCTTCGTGGACAACCCCATCCCCCCACTGAGTCCATCTCAACTGCACCTCTCGATCACGTGCACATGGGTGGGGTCCAGCTCCTGTTCGTTCTCGTGGCGGAGACTTCTACTTTCTTGTCATCATGATGACTATCCCCGTTATGTGTCTGTCCACCTCCTCTCCTTCGAATATGAAGCCCCAGCCGCCATCATTGAATGGGCCAAGCAGGCTCATAAACACTTCAAAACCACCATCAAGGTTCTTCACTCTGACGGTGGCGGTGAATTCCACAACGACACTCTCAAACCTTTCTGTTCCACTAAGGGTATATGTTAGACCTTCACTCTCCCAGACAGTCCCCAACAAAATGGTGTTGCTGAGAGTCGGAACCGCATCTTAGTGCAGATTGCTCGTTGCCTCCTCACTCACGCCTCCGCCCCTCCCTCATTGGGGGTATGCCATGCTCCACGCTGCCGCCCTCCACAATCTCCATCTTCATCCTTATCACACCCACACCACTCCCGCTGAGTTGTGGACGGGTCAAAAGCCGTCCGTCCGCCCTCTGCGTGTATGGGGGTGCACTTCCTATGTCCTCCTCAACTCCCAAGCCCGTCGTGCAGCTTGTAGCAAACTTGCTCCCAAAACAATCACGTGCGTATACCTTGGGCACAACTCAGATTCGCTAGTCTATCTCTTCCTCCATCCTTGCGCCATCCTTCCACCAACAAACTTTACCGCAGCCGAGACGTGTTTTTTTATGAGTCTCACCCATTCTATCCCTCCTCCAAGACTTCCCCCTCTCCTCCACCTCCTTCTCTTACTTGGGCTGACTTTGACAATCTTCCTCCTCCCGCCACTCTATCTCCTCCTCTTCCTGCTCCCACCACCGTCTCTGACCCGCCACCACCTACTTCCCCTTCCAGCACCACGCAGTCTCCTGCGCTCCTTCCCTCCCCCTCCCCTCCCCCACCGGCTCCCCCTCTTTCCTCTCCTCCTGCTCTGGCTCCTGCTCCTGCTCCCGCTCCTCCTTCCGAGCCTACTCCTCTCAAAACCTACCACCCCATTCCTCCGGCTCCTGCTCCTCCTGCTCCAGCTCCAGCTCCTGATCCTGCTCTTGCTCCCACTACCACCTCAAATACCGATACTACTCCTTCAGCTCCGCCTCCCTCCCCCATCGCTTCTCGCACACGCTCTCATACAGCCCCGAAGCCGCTCTCCCTTTCCGTTCGCATCTCCCTCAATCCACCTCCTGTCGGGGGTGATTATTCTCTCATGCCCTCCCTCCTTGAAGACAGACTTGAGGAGTTGATTGATATCGACTCAGCCATCCATGCGCTCTGCTTCCTCTTTCCAGATATCGCACTCTCCCACCCTCGATTTCTCCGACAACCCCTCCATCCCCACACCTCTCACCTATGCTGAAGCAGTCTCTGGTCCTCACGCCGCACAGTGGTTGGGGGCCATTGTCACAGAATGTGAAGCCTTCATTCACACAGGAACTTTCACAGATGTCTCTCCTCCCTCCGTCGTCAACATTGTGAAGGGAAAATGGGTTTTCCGGGTGAAACAACTTCCAGACGAATTTCCTGTCTTCAAAGCCCAGTACTGTGCCAAGGGAATTACCCCAAAGCATGGACTGGACTTCTTTGAGACATTCTCTCCCACGGCCAAACCTCCCACATTACGCACCCTTCTCGACGTTGCTGGTTGAGATGACATGGGGGTTGACTGCATGGATGTGTCTTCTGCGTTTCTGCAAGGGATCCTTCGAGTGGAAATCTATATGGAGCAGCCCGAAGGATTTCCAGCTCTTTTTCCACCAGGCACTGTATGGAAGCTGAATCGGCCAGTGCACGGACTCAAGCAAGCACCCTGGGAATAGCACAACAAGCTCAAGAGCACCTCAGGGTCCCTTGACTTTCACCCATCCACCTCTGACCCCAGCCTCTTCATCCGAGCAACACCATCCCGCTTCTTCATCCTGGTTTACGTCGATGACATGATCCTTGTCACCAAGGATCAGACTAAGTTGGCAGCAGTCAAAACCGCACTTGGTGAGAAGCTGGCCATGAAGGATCTTGGGAAGCTGACGAACTATCTGGGCATGGAAATCATACGTGATCGCCGGCCCGCACCATCACCCTCTCGCAGAAGTTTTACATCCACAACGTTCTCACGAAGTTCAAGATGCAGAAAGCAGCATCAATGCCTACCCCACTCTCTCTGCAGCACCAACTCACTGCACCCTCTGTTCCCTCACATGACCCTGTGATGAGCCTTACCCCGAGCTCATTGGATCCCTCATGTATGCGATGATGTGTACTCGACCAGACTTGGCCTATGCAGTCAGTGTACTCGCTATGTTGCACCTAGTCGTTTCACTCGCCACCACTGGTCTGCCGCCAAGCGGGTCCTTCGCTATCTCAAAGGCACACAGGATTATGTGCTCACACTTGGCGGCTCTTCCCCTGTTCGCCTTGAGGGGTACAGTGACTCATCCTATGCTGATGACCAGAGTGATCGGCGCTCTTCCCAAGGGTATTGCTTTACCCTTGGCAGTCGGGTTGTAAGTTGGCGCTCCACTCGGTCGTCCTCAGTCTCACCGTCGACCTGTGAGGCAGAGCTGTATGCCGGGACCATGGCTGCCCAGGAGGCTCGTTGGCTCACCTTCCGACTAACAGAATTGGGGTATTCTCAACCAACCCCAACGCTTTGGTGTGACAACGAGAGCACCATTGATCTCACCAAGGACCCCGTTTTCCACGACCGCACTGAGCACATTGAAGTTCGTCACTTCTTTCTTCGTGAGTTGGTGCGGCGCGAGCAGTTGAACGCTGAACACATTGCCTCCGACTGCAACCTTGCTGACTTGTTTACCAAGTCGCTTGTTCGCCAGGACCATTACCGCCTCCTCTCGGCCATGGGTGTTGGGCTTCCTTGTGGCTAATGTGTTGCAGCTTAGGGGGTGTGTTAGAAATAGGCTGTCAACACTTTATGTACAATATTCTATATCGTGTAGGTTATTTGTGGGTTGGGTGTAGTTTGTGATCCCAACCCTATCTGGTTGGGATTCCCTCGTACACCTGCAAATCTGCCAACTCACCAATCGGAGATTTGCTAGGATTCCCATCCCATCCTTTCCCTAGCTTTGCTCAACCCAACCTTGTTTGTACGTAAAGCCTAGTGCCATCTCTACTAATTAATCAGTTCAGCTCTGTTGTGCAAGCAAGAATGTCCTAGTAGGTAGATTATCACCTTTGGTCTTAGAGGTCATGGGTTCAACTCTGTGGAGCTGCATTCTCTCTTCTCATTATGCCCAACATGACATTCCCACTCCACCACACTCACCCACAGTGAAGTGTGGTCGCAGTTGGCTTTGTCATCTGTCCACTCATCCCATCGTCACCTTGCTAGCCCCTATGGTGTGCCACATGCTGTCATGTAGGCTGTTGTTCCAGCCGGGACCACATGTGCAACATGTGTCCTCAGTTGCTAGCTTGGCAAGGTTGGCTAGCCTTGCCCTCAGCTTTGAGGTGCTGCAGCTAGCCTCAAGCGTTCAGCCACATATATATGGCTTCCCACTTCTCTAGAAATCATCCTTGGCAAAGGACATTGCTCCAACCTCTCAAGCTAGTACCATCTTCCTACTAAGGATATTTTGTTCTTCTCTCATTGTGCCTTAAGTTCACCGATCCTCATTCTACAAGCTATCAGAGCCAGGCTTGTAGCTTAGTGAACGTTGCATACTTGATGGCTCAAGTTGAAACGCCTCTCGGTTGGCACACCCTTCCCATCTTGGAACCAGATGGTTCCAACTTCACTCCATGGAAGAAAAAAATCTGCTACATCTTCAACGTCCTTGGGCTGATCTCCCTCCTTGGAGATCCCAAGGTTGCTTCGCATCCTTCAATTTCCTCTTCCACAACCAGCGGTGGAGAGGCTCCCGAAGGCAACAGCGGTGCAGCCCCTAAAACAGCCCATTCAATTGCTTCGCTGCCGGATGAAGAAACAGAGGAGCATGCATACTATCTTCTCATGTCGGCCGTCCATCCTCAACTATCGCTCACTCTCGCTCAAGCAAACACGACAAAGGATATGTGGGGATGCATCATGGCGCAGTTCGACTGCATGGGCAACCATGCACAAGTGGCTCTCCTCCGAGATCTCATCACTACTCGAATGGACCCAACAACAAGTCTTCGCTCCTACTTCGACCGAGTTGGAAACCTTACACACCAGCTCAAATCTGCCAGCTTCGAGTTACCATCATGGGTGGTGGTAATTTCCATCATCCTCAACCTTCCGGTCTTGTTCAAGACTCTTACTGAAACCATTTGCACCGTGAAAGACATCAAGTCTATGACGGTTGAATACCTACAATCACGCCTGCTCGATGCAGATTGGGAGCGGTCACAATCTGGTACAAGCCGCAATATGGAGTGTGCATACAGCCTCAATTCTCAGCCCTCCCACCCTTTTCACTCCGGTTCCCACCAGTCGCCCACCTGCCGTTACTACAAGAAAACTGGTCACACCATCGACGAATGCTTCAAATTGAAGAAGAAGAAAGAGCTTGAAGACAGCTCTAAACGGGAGAAATCCGTCATCCAGCCTTCGGTGCATGTCTCCACCAGCTCCTCTGCTGAAATTACTCCGACCCCCACACCACCTCCTGCCCCATCAGCCCCTCAGTCCGTACCTGATTCCCGGTACGTTGACATTGCTGTCAGCACCAGCCACCACCCCATTATCTCCTCATGGACTCCTCTCGTCGCTGCTGTCTTCATTTTCACCATCCTCCTCCTCTTCCCTTATGGGGCTCCCTACGCATCGGAATTCACGGCCTCCTCATTCAACATGGACCGGACTTCGTCGTGGCTGGTGGACACCGGCGCATCCTCCCATATATGCTCGGATCCTTCGTTGTTTTCATTAGAAATAGGCTGTCAACACTGTATGCACAATATTCTATATCGCATAGGTTATTTGTGGGTTGGGTGTAGTTTGTGATCCCAACCCTATCTGGTTGGGATTCCCTCGTAAACCTGCAAATCTGCCAACTCACCAATCGGAGATTTGCTAGGATTCACATCCCATCCTTTCCCTAGCTTTGCTCAACCCAACCTTGTTTGTACGTAAGGCCTAGTGCCTTCTCTACTAATCAATCAGTTCAGCTCCTTTTCTATCACCTTACCCCGTCGTAGTCTTGGAAGGAGGGTGTCTTACCCCATCGTAGTCTTGGAAGGAGGGTGCCTTACCCCATCGTAGTCTTCAAACGAGAGTGCCATACCCCATCGTAGTCTTGGAAGGAGGGTGCCTTACCCCATCATAGTCTTGGAAGGAGGGTGCCTTACCCCATCGTAGTCTTGAAAGGAGGGTGCGGACGCCTCGATGTGCACAATGACAGGCTGGCGCTGCACTGCCAGCATGAGCCCAAACCACCCGTAGAACCCCGTGCGCTCAATGCCGCGGATGCCGTAGTACCTGGTGCTCGCCTGCACGCAGGGAAGAGGAATACAAAGAAACACGGAGATGTTGACAAAACACCATTGACAACAACAACATAACACATTGCCAACAGATATAAGCAACAACACCAAAACAATGATACATCATACCTTCAGCAAAAGTCTCACCAACGATCTCCTTCTAAGAGCCAGCCCTGGGGAGTACACAGCCTCCTCGAGCAAGCCCTTGCCCTGCGCGGTGACGTTGAGGAGGAACTGCAGCGCCTTGGTGGGCGAGCCACCGTCGCAGTTGGAGGAGAGGGCGAGGCGCAGATGCTCCACCGATAGCACGGGGGGCTGCGCCCAGTTGCTCGCGATCCTGTGGGCTGCCTCCATCGCTGCCACCACTGCGTACGCCCAGCAATCACCTGCTGGGAATAAGAGGGGCCGCAATGTAATGGGATTAATGCACTCTTGTGTGACCTTATACATGGGCAAAAGACGAGTCGAGTTTTACTTGACTCGTTTTGACGAGTTTTTTGTCACACACGAGTCGAGTCGAGGAAAACTCGCCAAGTTTTTTGTGCCACAAAGCAAACTCGAAACTCGACCATTTTACCGAGTTTTTCAACACTCGGACGAGTTCAAAGAAAACTCGTCCGAGTCAAGTAAAACTCGACTCGTTGTTAAACACCCCCCTTACCCACCACCCCACGAAACCAGTTTAGTGAAAGGAAATGCCGCGCGGATCTAGCGGCGGAATGCTAGGTGTGGGCAGATATGGGGGCGGAATGCTAGGTGCGGGCGGATCTAGCGGTGGAATGCTATGTGCAGGCGGATCTGGCGGCGGAATGCTAGGTGCGGGCGGATCTAGCGGCGGAATGCTATGTGCGTTCAGATCTGGCGGCGGAGTGCTAGGTGCGGGCGGATCTAGCGGGGGAATGCAATGTGCGGGCGGATCTGGCGGCGGAATGCTAGGTGCGGCCGGATCTGGCGGCGGAATGCTAGGGGCGGCTGGATCTGGCTGCGGAATGCTAGGTGCAGGCGGATCTAGTGGCGGAACGCTAGGCGCGGGCGGATCTGGTGGCAAAATGCTCACGAGCCCCAAAAACTTGCGAGTTTTGAAAAAACTTGCTTGGTAGCCGAGTTTTTCACGAGTTTTTTTAACTCGAGAGCAAAACTCGACTCGAGCAACCGAGTTTTTTTTACAAAAAAACAAACTCGAAACTTGAGCTTTTCGAGTCCCTCAAACCAGTCGAGGAAAAACTCGACTCGTTTGCCCATGTATATGTGACCTGAGTGTACGAGTAAAACGCAAGTGAATGCTAGCAGCTTGGTGTCACGAAAGCTTCTACGAGAATGCTCACGATACATTCACAAGGTCTCTGTGGTAGGGTGGGACGCAACAAGGCATGCCACGTCTTTCTTTGTCACATGCCATGTGGTGCTCACTCCCACCAACTAACTTGGTTTGTGTTGGAGAAGGCTAGAATTCGCTCTAACACTTTACATAATGTTTTCTTCTATTTCAGCCTTTCCAGAGCAATTTACATTTCAAGGTTCAGCTTGAGTTCATTTCCTAAGCGCTATCCTATATTCGGTTAGGTTTTTTCTATTATGATTTTCAATTATGGCAAGTTTTTCTTAGCTCCACTTTAACATGGTATCTTGAGCAAAATCATAGGCATCCCCATTCTTTTCTTAATCTACATCCTTCCATTTCAGTCGCGGCCCTTCCTCGATTGTCACGCGCCCTTTCTAAGGCCGTTGCGGGCTCTGCCCTAGGCCGTCGTGGGCCGGCCTCAGGTCGTCGGGACTCTGGTCCGTTTTAAGCTGTCGTGGGGGTCACAGACCCTCATAAGATTGTCACGGGCCCTCCCACAGCCGTCGCGGGCCCTCTTGCTTGCTGTCGTGGCGGGCCCTCCCTCAGCCAATGCGAGCCCTCTACCAGAATCGTCGCGAGCTCGTCGCAGGCCCTCCTTCAGTCGTCGCAGGTCCTCCCTCAGCCTAGCAGGCCCTCCCTCAACCAAGCAGGCCCTCCATTAGCCACGCAGGCCCTCCCTCAGCCGACGCCGGCCCTCCCTCAGCCTGTCCTGGGCCTTACCTACACAGCCATGCGCCTACTTTCCCCCTTCGCACATCCCGCTGCTCGCTGCGCGACTCATCCAAGCTCACCTGCATACCATTACCAGCCCTTTAAAGCGCCCTCTCAAGCCAAACCCATCTTCACCCCTCCCATAACCATCAGCTCATTGCACCTGATGTTCTCTCTAGTGGGAGTACGCCGCCGTTCGACATATCTTATATTCCCATATTTCTCCTTGATCTTATTTTCCTTTTTGCTATTTCATTTGCATTTTATTTCACCTCAATCGAGCTACTATTCTATTTACTAGAACATTCTGATCTTTTCATTTACTCTGTATTTCTCAGACATACGGCACCGACAGCGACGATAGAAGGTGTATACTGAATCATCTGGATATAATTCGGTGTGCCAAAAGCATTACGTTCCTTAACGCACAAGCTAATATAATTTCTTAGATGATACATTCCCCAAGGTTCGGACTGTCGCTTGCTTTCTTGCAATTCTGAGTATAAATATGACTTGTACTCACCTATAGTGCAACATTCTCGATCAAAAAATCGATCCTATGACACTCTCTCTTTCATCCTCCTCGCAACAGTATCCCGAGCTTGTCAACTCGTTCATGTGTGCCATGATGTGCATGCGTCCTACCCCCTCAGTGTTCTAGGTCGGTAATCGGATCTTTACTGGGCCGCTGCCAAGCGAGTGCTCCGTAATTTTTGTGCAACCTCCGACCTTGCTCTCACCCTTGGAGGAATTACTCTTCTTTTCCTTGAAAGGTTTAGCAACTCTTCTTCGGCTGATTCTCGCCCAAACTGTCGCCCCGACCGTTGCTCCTTTAGAGTGATGGCTTTCTTCTCGGTAGCAGCATCGTCAGTTGGCAAATTATTCGCTCCTCTTTCATCTGCCTCTCTTCCAGCGAGTCTGAGCTTAATGCTGGCACCCTCACCTTGCGGAAAACCCGTTCGCTCTCTTTTCTTCTTGAGGAACTTGCCGTTCTCCAATCATTTGAGTCTCTTTCGTGCAACAGTGCCAACATGATTCACCTCACTGAGAGCCCTGTTTTTCATGGTCGCAACAAGAACATCGAAGTTCGTCATAGCAAACTTGTTCAGAGCACGTCTTGGAAAAGCACCCTCTGATGCCAAGCCAACCATGCAAATATCTTCACGAAGGCCCTCCTATGTGTGCCGCATCATGTCTACATGTGCACACTTGGCCGGTCTCTCGCGTCTTTCCACTTCAGGGGGTGTTCCCATGTGTCAGGTATTTCTCTTCGAAGCTTTACCTAGACTATGGGTGTTTTCGAGTAGGCTAGATATAGCTCTGATATTTATGAAGATGCTGTCTTATTATGTTGTCGTGTTTAAAGCAAGTTACACCTTAGGTTCAATCAAATTAGGTTCATTTTCTAGGTTCTATCGTGAACTTTATATGATTAAGTTCGCCTAGGTTTACCAGCCTCCTTGCTCAAATGCATCTCGAAACTCTTCTTATTACAACTTTCCCCTTCTCTCCATCCATGGCTTCACTTACCTCTACTTGAACACATAGTGCATATTTAAAAGTACGAACATTAATCTCACTCCACGCATGGTTGCATGTGTTTGCGTGGCTTACTCATTCCTCTCATCTCAATGATCTGTTCCTCGCTCTGGGCCAAGGTGCTAAGTTTCAACCCATACCTTCCATCTTTCCTAATGTTCATACCTTATGGCCATACGACTCACCACACCCCTTTTGGTTCTTGACAGGCCAGGTGGATTCAGGCAAGACCCAGGTGCTGTAGGACTTGACAGTCCACGCGGGGCTGTTGTCCTGCGCGGGGTCGAAGCCCGCACTTGCGTAGTGGAAGGCGGCGTTGAAGCCCTGCGATGAGAAGGAGTCCTCGTCCAACACAAACCCCAACGCCAGGTCTGGTGCAAGGAGGAAGGGGTGTTGGGTTAGGAGTTGGGAGGAGAAAATAGAGTTAAGACACGAAGAAAAAGATCAGTGAGGGGAATCGACTCACGTACGGTGAAAAAGAAAAACGCCAAGCATACTCACTTGAAGGATCAAAGGGCGGGTTCAGCGGAATATCTGCAGCACCCACAGAAGCCAACCACAAGGATGGAAAGGCACGGAAGTGATAGAATACATTAAATCAATGCGGAGCCATGAACAAGTCGCAAATAAGCAACACGGGGAATGGGACAAGTTCCAACTTCAACGAAAAAAATGTACACACACAAAAAAAACCAACACCACAATTGAAGAAGTACAAGGATACACTAACGAGCACCCTCAGCTTAGACATTATTCTTTCAACCCCCTCTGCTAAAGGATTATGGCCCGATATAATGTGTTCACACACCAATGCGTAATTACGTATTCACCTGAAAAACAAAACATACACCAACAACAGCCAAAAATTTTTAGGTTAATTCACCTGAAGCGCTCCGCATTTGGGCTTTGCTGACGCTCACCTGAGAGAGGCACATACCTGCACTGAAGGCCCAGTTGAGGACGGAGTGTGCTTGTGGGGCGGTCGTGGATGATGCAGTGAAGCCGACGTAGAATGCAGCAGTGGACGCCCTGGGCTGCAGGATGGAGCAGAGCGACACGCGAGCTCGGAGGGTGGGGGTGGGGGGCTGCTGGGGGTCGGAGGAGAGGTAGACTCGGAGAGTGCCGCCGCTGGTGGGGTCGTAGTGGATCCAGGCGTGCTTGGTGTGGGCGTCGTTGAGGATGAGAGGGGCCGTGGCAGAGGCGAGGGACACAGGTGAGCCGCCCACATTGACGCCCACGTGGTTGTCGTTGGGGTCGCTGTGCTTCACACTCAGCACCGAGTCAAACTCCACCGCCACACTCCGCTTCCCCACCCCTCCCAGCCGGTCTGGCAGCGCCGCAGCAACGACAAACACGAGCCCATCCCCGCCCGCCTCTGCCTCCGGGTCGAGGGAGAAGGCAAGGGATGCGTTGAAGGCGAGCTGGTAACCGCATGTGGCCTTGGTGTTGAAGTAGGAGAAGAGGGGGAGAGGCGCCGCTGTGAAGGCCGTGCCCCAGGTGGCGTTGGCCTTGGGGGTCAGCAGCAGCGCGCCGCCTGCAGAGGTTAGCGCCGAGCCGCTCAACACCATCGGAGTGGTGGCAGAGGAGGCCAGCACGGGGTCAACTGGAGGGAGGAGGGGTGGGAGACGAGGGGTTTGAAAAAAAGAGATTGCTTGGTGCAAGAATGACGACACGGTGGTCAATTCAATGAAAGGAGTGGCATACACCTCAGTTCTAGCCCAAACCAGGAAGCCCTCTCAAAAGGAGAACAACTTCGCTTACTTGTGTATGAGCACGTTTGGGGGTCGTTGCGAGTGGAGTAGTGCGCGTCACACGCACACTCCGCCATCTCACTAGTGTCATTCATGAAGCAGTACCCATGCCCGCTGCACAACGCCTCTGCCTGCCCCACCCCACAGAAAGCTGCGCAGCTCTCCCTGCTCCTCTGTTCTTCGGCCACCCCGCACAGAGTCAAAGTCGTGGACAGGCAGTTCTGAGTGAGCATGAGGTGCAGAGCTGCGCAGTTCTTGGGGCGCGTGGGGGCGGAGGTGAAGTAGTTGCTGTGCACGTCCAGCAGCGTCAACGACCTGGAGGCTGGCATGGGCACGGCGCCCGTGAACTGGTTGGACGCCACGAGGCTGCAGGCCGTGACCAGCACAATGTCGTGGTAAGGCGAAAGGCAGCGTAAGGAGTGGAAGACACAAGGGACCGGGGGGATTTGAGGAATGGTTAGTATGGAGGGTACGAATGGTTCCAGGTAGAAAGGGGAACATTTGAATTACGCCTGATTGGGGAGGGTGAAACTTCAGAATGCACTCACAGCTTCTCAAGGTTGGTCAGCGGGTTGACCATGGGTGCCAACGGTCCTGACAGAGACATGGAAGACAAGTCCCTGCACCATGTATGCATGCACCGCAACCATGTAGCACAGGATGGCTCATTTGTGTCAACAAGGCTGGCATGATTGTTGCAGTTGGCCATACATTTAGTTGCTTCCACACAACATGTGGCTCGGTTGGAGGAACATCATCACAATAAAAAAAAAAATAGGCAAACCCATTTCTGCCAAATTCACTCACGCATTGACAGTTATGGCACAAAGACCAAATGCCATTGCTGTACAGCCATGCCCAAACTCCAGTTCATTGAAACAAACAACTGAGCCGGCTGAACAAACCATGCAAGTGGCTGAAAGGTAGTGTGGGGATGACTCACAGGTACCAAAGCCTCTGCAGTGAGGAGAGTGCGGGAGGCACCAGACCATGCACGCGCAAGTCACGGAGGGAACTGCGTGCAGGGGGTTACAATGACGTGGGACAGGATTTGAATGATTCTAGCATGGAATTTGTGTACGCATGTGATCTGAGCTCTGAAGGACAGGAATCGGCGCCAACGACTTACACTACGAGAAATGGACTGTGATTTTACATTTACTGTGTAGTTTTGAACTAGGGATGAGCAAATGGCGAACTCGAACACGTTTGGGTTCGAGTTCGCTCGAACATCAACTTTTCCCGAACCGAACACAGTTCGGTTCGGCGAACAACTTAGGTTTCAGGAGCTGTTCGACGTTCGCCCTTGGGGGCGAACATTTCTTATGTGTGGGCGAACTCGAACATGTTCGAACCGAACATGTTCGAGTTCGCCCTTGGCCACTTTCATTATAGTCACAATAGAGAAACACGGAACCTGGAGGGTTGGGAAGATAGATAGGGGGGTGGAGGTTGTGTATATAATCATGCAACGCACACTTGCATACGACACCATCATGTAGTGCCTATATAAAAGTCAAGTCACTGCCAAATTACATCCTACGCCTGCACACCTAAGTTGGATATTACGCTTACGTTTACGTACGTTTTACGTTTACGTTTACGTACGTTTTACGTTACGTACAAGGGTCCAGAATGAGTTTACGTTTCCGGGCAGATTAGTTTATTTTCAGCTGCCCGGGTCAAACAAATTTCCCTGGGATTCGAAGTTGGCATTAACATTATCTATGATAATGTTGTGGTTCAAGCTACGAAATTACAATCTCCAGCCATAAATTTTGTTGCCGACCATTGTTTGTATCGGCGCGTCACTTTGTGACGCGTTACTTTTGCTAGGTGCACAAAATCGCTTCGGGCTTTCCCTCCAATTTCAGAATCGCGAGTCAACGTCCCCCCCCCCCCCCTCTCCCCAGTGTCATCACTTCGACCTCCCCACCTGTCCTTATGTTCCAGCCCCGTGACTTACGCGGGGCTCTGAAGGTTACGCTCGATGCTAGAGCTATAGATCCACGAACTAATCCTCTCACATCTTCTACGTAGATATCCGTTCTAGATCCTCTAACCTAGATCCTAGAGTTCTTAAGTACGACCTAAGTGAAGATCTAAAAGATGGTGCTGCGAATTAAAATAGCGAGGTAGATAGTCACTAAATATAGCATAACGGTTATGAAAGAACCGTCAATCCTAAATATGGCATTTCGTACGCAGCTGTATGTGCTGCCCTGAGCAGTTGTGCCGCAATGATGCTCTCTTTTCCAGAGCCAATTTACAAAACGCTTTTTTTTTTTTGCCGGATTTTTTTTCCTGCCCGGACCTAAGTTACGCGTATTTACGCGTACGTAAACGTAAACGTAATGTTACGCGTAACATTACGTTTACGTAGGTCCAGGGATGTACGGACCCATCTTAGCTGCACACCACTGCTACTACCAACAACAGCATGCTCCGCGTCTGAGGTGTCGTCAGCACCCACCCCCACCTGCTCCTCCTCCCCCTCATCCTCCTCCCACTCGTCGTCCTCCTCCTCCCCCTCGCCTTCAATGACGAACTCTGGTGGTGCCTCGTCTTTGCCACGGCGGCCCTCGCCTATCCTCTGTCCTGGGTGTGAGGTGTACCATGATCTGAGAATCATGGAAGCTCGCGTCCTCTGAGAGGCTAGGCGGTGCCGCTTCCAGGATATGAGGTTGCGGCCGAGGGAGAACACGCGCTCGCTCGACGCGGACGTGGCAGGGATGGCAAGATAATCCCGGGCCATGCGCCTCAGCGTCTGCATGTTGGTGGCGCTGCGCCAATACTCCAACGCTGACACGTCGCATCGCACCCTCTCTGATAAGTACCTGCCAACCTCGTCATCCTGCACCATCCCACCCCTCCCCGCCTCCTGGCTCGCCGACAGACGCGCCGCAAGGCGTCGTCGACTAGGGAGAAACTCGGCGTCTTCGTCGTCATCCGCCGCGTCTCCCTCCTCCTCCTCCGTCACTGGGGCAAGTGGGGTCGGCTGAGGGGCAATCGCTGCAGCCCGGGCCTGGTACTCCGCCACGCGTTCGCGAACCAGCTGGATCACCTCGCCTGACGAGGGTCGAGGCCTCGCCCTCCGCTCTGTGTCGGGATGCAGCGTCTCCCAGTGCGCGTCGTCTGTAGAATGAGGATCGGTGAACTTGAGGCACAATGAGAGAAGAACAATATATCCTTAGTAGGAAGATGGTACAAGCCTGAAAGGCTAGAGCAATGTCCTTTCCAAAGATGAGTTCTAGAGAAGTGGGAAGCCACATTTATGTGGCTGAACTCTTGAGGCTAGCTGCAGCACCTCAAAGCTGAGGGCAGTGCTAGCCAACCTTGCCAAGCTAGCAATTGAGGCCACATGTTGCACATGTGGGCCAGGCTGGAACAACAGCCTACATGGCAGCATGTGGCACACCATAGGAGCCAACAAGGTGAGTATGGGATGGGTGGACAGATGGCAATGCCAACTGTGACCACACTTCACTGTGGGTGAGTGTGGTGGAGTGTGGGAGTGTCATGTTCGGCATAATGAGAAGAGAAGGTGCTGCCGATGAGAGTTGAACCCGCGACCACTAAGACCAAAGGTACCCACTGGGACATTCTTGCTTCCACAACACCCCCCCTCAAGGATGTCCCCGGGGTAGGGTGCCTCAAGAGGAAACATGGGTGAGACCGAGAAGACCACGGATGCGAAGAAAAGGGTCACGGGGCAAAGGCTTGGTCCCAATGTCAGCGAGGTTGTCTTGAGTAGGAACATAGTGAAGGGTGATGGAGTGGTCGGCAACATGATCGCGAATGAAATGGTGCTTGATGTCGATGTGCTTGGCCTTGGGATGAAAGACGCCATCGTCCTTGGCGAGAATGATGGCACTGTTGTTGTCACACGAGATATGGGTGGGGCCGGTAGGGGGAAGTCCAACTGCAGTAAGGAGCGAACGAAGCCATAATGCCTCGTGCACCGCGGCGCCCAGAGAGTAATATTCAGCTTCACATGAAGAGGTAGCAACAACGGCTTGGCGTTTGGACTGCCAAGAGATGAGTGACGGACCGAGGAAGAACAAGTAGCACGTAACGGAGCGACGCAGCTCCCCCTCCGGTCCCCAAGAGGCGTCACACCAGCCATGAAGTTCGAGGGTGTCGGGAATGCCACCAAGGAGAAGCCCAAGGGAGGTAGTCCCTTTCAAGTAGCGAGCAATGCGTTTGGCAGCCGAGACGTGAGGAGTAGACCAATCGTGAAGGTGACGAGCAAGAACTCCAGCGCTATATGCGAGGTCGGGACGGGTCCCCACCATGGCATACATGATGGATCCGACAAACGAGGTGTAAGGGAAAGAGGAGGAGTGCGGGGAGGAAGTCACGGGTGGCTGAAACTTTGTGTCCATGGGGGTGGCAGCGGGGTTCAGTGGAGAGAAGGAGTAGGTGTCTAGAATGGAGGTGATGAATTTGGATTGATGAAGGTGGAGAGTGCGGGAAGTTCGATCACGAGTGATGTGAAAGCCAAGGTAGTAGGAGAGAGGTCCGAGGTCACGAAGTTTGAAGCGAGATGAAAGGGCATGCTTGAATGAGGCAAGAAGAGAGGAGGAGGAGGAGAGAATGATGAGGTCGTCAACATAGACGAGAAGCATGAAGAAGGATGCAGCTGTAGGCCGATAAGGTGAGTGAGGAGGAGCAATGAAGAGGCCGGGGTCCGCACGAGCAGCAAAGAGGTGAAAGGCAGCAAGCTCCTCACGAAGCTTGCGGTACCAGCATCGCGGAGCTTGCTTCAACCCGTACAGCGGTTTGTGCAAGAGACAAACTTGCTCAACACCATGGACCGCCGGAAGGTCATAACCGGGAGGCTGCATCATGTAGAGAATCTCATCAAGGGTGCCGTTGAGGAAGGCGTTGGAGATGTCCAGCTGATGGACGTCCAGGTTGAAAGCGGCAGCTATGGTGAGAAACAAGCGGAGGGTGGCGAAGCGGACGGTAGGAGCAAAGGTGTCATGAAAATCAACACCATCACGTTGCTTGAAGCCTTTGACAACAAGGCGGGCTTTGCGGCGTTCAATAGAACCATCAGCGTTCTCCTTGACCTTGAAAATCCATTTGCATGGAATCGGCTTGCACTTGGGTGGTCGAGGAACAATGCTGTAGGTGTCATTAGCGTGCAGGGCAGCGAGTTCCGCATCAGCAGCCTTGATCCATTCGGCAGCATCAGGGCCGGTACGAGCCTCATGAATGGTTTGAGGTTCGTAATGATGGTGAAGGGCAGCATTGGCAGAGGTGTTGGAAAGAGGAGGAAGAGTGAAGTCAATGGGTTCGGAAGGGGATGGTAAGACCTTGAGGAAGGAGAAAAGGGAAGGATCGGGAAGAGCTGAAGGGGATGGCGGGGAGGAGCGAGTCGTGCAATGGGGAGGGGGAGGCGAAGAGGGAGGAGAGAAGGATGGAAGGTGAAAGTCTTGCGGCGTCGAGGGCAGAGGAAGGTTGGAAAACAATGGAGGAGGAGAAGATGTGGCTGGTGCGGGCAGGTTTGGGGATTGTGGGTGGGGGTTGGTGGAGGAAGGTATGGTGGGGGAAGGAGAGGGAGGGGAGATTGGGTCCAAGGAAGAAGGGTGTGTAGGAGGAGGTAGTGAGGAGGATGTGGGTGGAGATGACGATGGAGGGTCGCGAGAGTCGTCGGAAGGCGGTGCAGAGGGCTCCATGAAGATGACATCACGAGAAAGGATGACACGGTGCTGAGATGGGATATAGATGCGGTAAGCTTTGGTGCCGTCGAGATGACCATATCCAACCATGATGCCGGCCGTGCTTCGGTCGTCGAGCTTAGAACGCCGTTGGGAAGGAATGAGGACCGAGACGGGTGAACCGAAGATGCGGAGGTGTGATACATCCGGACGTGCACCGGTCCATAGTTCCATGGGAGTCTTAGAAGTTGAACCACCCCGACTAATGGCATGATTACGAAGATAGGCAGCAGTAAGAGCGGCTTCACCCCACCAGCCTTTGTCCATGTGTGCATCATGGAGCATGGAA